GCACTCTACCAAGGGTGACAAAGTGACTTTATCTCTTAAAAAATAAATGAAGTAATTTTAGACATTGGCTCGGCCACTCACTCAGTTATCCACTCATCTACTTACTATATGCCTAGTGTGTTCGAGGTGCTGTACTGGGGCCTAGGCACACAAGGACAAATGATTCTTGGTCTGCCAATCAGAACTTCTCAGTGTGGAGGGAGAGATGGGTGTGGTAAGAACCCTGTGCAGGAACAGGTTCCAGGAGCTCTGGCCTCCACCAGTGTTCCATGGAGGAAGTAGCCTGGTGCTGACTTTTGAGCACCCCCGTGGCATAGGGAGTAGAAGTCCTCTGTGACAAAGAGAATTGCATATACAAAGGCACAGGACCTGCAGGAACCATGTGGTAGGGGCTCCAGAGAGATGAGGAGGAAAGTGGGCCTGCAGAGTGTGCTGGAGCCTGAAGGTGGGGTTCTTGACACTGTGCTAGGGCAGGGGCATTATCTTGCTGGGAAGCCATGGCATCCATTTCTCTGATTTTTTTATTTAGAAAGGTCACTATGGCTGCAATCTGAAGGATAGAATAGAGGCAGAAAGGCCCACTGGGGTACTATTAGCATTGTATTATGGTCTGGGTGAGAGCTGAACGTGGGATGGGTAGAGAGGACAGAAGAGGTGGGATCATGGGGTGAACATGAAGGGATGGCAGCCCAGAGCGGTTGCCAACAGCCCAAGGACTATAGGTCTGGGGAGGTTATTTTCTGCATTGCTAATTAAAAAAAATTCACAATTAATACACCCAAATAAATATTCACCCATTTGTTTTTATTCTGTGATTGCCTGTATGTACCCTAAGTTTATTGAACAGTGCTTTCCAGTTGAGTGTGCCCTGGTGGACCTGGAGGGTTACTGACCCCCAAGCCCTCTGGTGGCCAGAGAGGCCCTGGAGTGTTTGATGCCCCCTCGTGGTCACTTTAGATCACACATGCCCGTTCCAGGGACAGAGATGTCCCCTGTTGTCCCTCTGTGCTTTCTGAGAATTGCCATTTTCTCTGTGCCACAAACCAGATAGAGTTGGGGACACTGGGTTAGAAGCTTCTCTGGAACTCACTTAAATACCATTATCCTGCCTTCTCCTGTGGCTAAGCGCTGCTCTTTCAGCTCCTTGAACTGATTTGAAGAGTGAACTCACGAAGTAAAAAGTAGGAGACATTTTAAAATATTTTCTTCTGCCATTATTGCTGGTGAACCATTAGCAGGTGACCGACTGTAAGGAAGGGAGAACCTTAAAGCAAGGGCTAGGTTGACTCATTGGCTTTTGGGGTTTAGATTAACCTATTACCCTCTCCTTCTGGTTGAATCAAATAGTAATCTTTGTTCCCTCCTCACCACATTGCTTGGTGGCTTCAAGGCTGCTCCCTGGGCCCCCTGCATGGGTCTGATAGTCTGGTGAGGCACTACCTGCTCACGCCACTATCTTGACATAAAACCTTCAGTGGCTCCTTGGCACCTCTTACATCACCCAAAGGTACCTGCCTTACTGTGTCCCCTGCCACTGGCCTCCTATTTGCCTTGCCCTTTTTAAATCCCACTTGCCTGAAAGGTCGCTGAAGGCACAGGTCCCCAAGAAGCTCTGCTCCCACCAGTCTCTCTTTACATAGATCTCAGGTGCGTGCAGAGGATTTTGGTCCAGGACATCATTGTTCAATGCATGTTAGCTTTTTCTCCCCAGATAACTAAGCTCATCAGCGCCAGCACAAGGCTTGTTTCCCCCATTTCTCCCTGCTGGGCAGAGCGCACTGATGTGCCTAACACCTTGTGTTTCCCGTGATCACTTGTTGGTTTCCCTGGTTTCTGTATTACAGGCTGCTTTGGGACCGTTCCTCACTGGGCCACTGTTGTCTTGTACCTTCCCAGGTTCACCATAGTTGCAGAAAGTCTGCAGCAAGTTCGTCAACAGCTTAAAAAGCTGGAGGAGTTGGAACAGAAGTATACATACGAACACGACCCCATCACAAAAAACAAGCAAGTGTTGTGGGACCGCACCTTTAGCCTTTTCCAGCAGCTCATTCAGAGGTAATTTGTGAGATGTTTATTGCGCCTTCACCGATTATTTTATCCAGAGGAATATTTACAGTAATTCAGATAATTTGGAAGGGTTTAATAGGTTTTTATGTGGCAGTTTATTCCTACCGAAGTTCCTTATTGATGGCCATGGTCATTCTTGTGGACATCTGGGCTAGAAACTGTAGTATTAGGCCGCGTCCTCTCCCTGTGGCTGGTCTGTGCAAAACTTAGTGTGTCTAATGAGGTTTGCCCTGTCCTTCCCATCCTGTGGCCTTATCACATCTTGGGCTCTTAACTCCTCTTTTCTGAACTCAGCCAATCCCTTCTGCAGCCCCTTCCAGCTTACGCCTTGTGACCTCGGTTCTTCCCAGAACACAGCTCTAGTCTGGTTCTTCACCTCCTGCCAATCCATGCGGAGGCCTCAGCTGGACATTTGTGGCCCTACTTTTGTAGCTTTGCTGAAAATTGTAAGGTTCTGGAAGATAGAGACGTGTTTTTGTCGCTCTTCCCCCAATCTAAGGTGTTCCAACATGCTTGGTAGATAAATGAATGTCACGAAGTGGAAGAGTAGAATTCACATTATAAGATCTGTTGGTTTTTTCTGTTTTACATTAGCATGATAATATGTACTTCATTCCCTCTGGCTGGTATCTAAACAAGAATGCCTGTATGTTGGAATTTGAAAAAATTGAGGACATTTTCTTGGGGTTTTGAGGCAAATTTGATTTTTAATGATGATATGTAAATGAATATGATCAAATTAGGGGTTTTCCTTGTTGAACAGTTTCACAGATCACTCTGTTTTTGGTAAGTGTAAATTAGGTTTGGGGATTCTTTGCTAACTAAAAAAATGTCACTTCGATCATCCACCTTATCAGAATCTTTCCAGCAGTGGTTTAGGTTGTGTTCTCTAACGCCCCTTCCTCTTCAGAGAAAATCATTTTTTACTGCCTCAGTTTCGGTGGAAATACTGATTTTTCTGCACTGCTGGATGTTTACAGCTCATTTGTGGTGGAGAGACAGCCTTGCATGCCGACTCACCCTCAGCGGCCATTGGTCTTGAAGACCGGAGTGCAGTTCACCGTGAAGTTGAGGTAACCAAGGGGAGGTGTCCTCCCACATGCTGCCTGTCATGTACTTGCACCCTCATTTCCGTTTACAGAGCAGTTATATAGAATGCTTTAGAGGAAAGAATTTTTCAGTAGGCATTTTAATGTGAATTCTTACTTAGAACATCCAGGAGTCTTTTTTCTTCAAAATAGAAACGTAATCAGTGTAGATGTATATACATATATATACACACCTGATTATTTTTCCTGTTGTAAATGTCATGCATATTTGTAATAGAAAGGGACTCCACATTGCTGAAATGTGTATAGTATAGAGTAGAAGTCATAGCATCCTCACCCCTCTTGAACGTAAGCTTATGACTTGAGCTTTATGAATCCCTGAAACTGTGGTGTGTATGAAAGTGGATATGTGCCATATGTGTTCTCCTGGTAAATGGGTTCTTAGCTTTCATCACATTTTCAAAGCTCCTTGTGATTTAAATATCTGTGGACCACCCTGGAAAACAGCCTAAGTCTGTCTTCACCCAATTTTTTCCATATTGATATCTATAAATATATATATGTGTGTGTACGTGTGTACACATGCAAAGGGTGCAAAAAAACTGTACACACTTTTTTTTTTCCTCTTCTGGCCAGGGCCGAGTTTGAACCCGCCACCTCTGGTATATGGGGCCAGCACCCTACTCCTTTGAGCCACAGGCACTGCCTAAATGTACACACTATTTAAGAAAGGAAAAAACCTTATTAAATTTGTAATACTGAAGTCATGTTTGACTTCTGCAATTACCAGAGGTGCTCAAATGCGACTTATATTCATCTTTTGTTATTGGTATATGCTGATTTAAGTCCACAGGCACCCGCCGCTTTCCCTGGCTGGCAGTGTTACATTGCCACACTTAAGCCCCTGTGAATCCTAGAACTTGGCAGCTGGAAGGGGCAGTGAAAATCTGATCCTCTCCACCTTTTTACTAAGTGAGGGCTGACATATCCCTGGGGCCTCCAGCTTAGGGGAGCAGAGGCACATGCCTCCTACCATCCCACACCACCCTAGTGAGATTAGAGATACGACCCACATTTTCTGATTATGGTTGATAGTTTTTATTTTCTTCCAGTAGAACAAACATTATAAACAAATTTAGTAAGAAGTAACGTTTGCTATTTTTCACCTGTGTCAGTTGGCCAAAAGTAGAAATTTTGATAAAACCCAACGTTGGTGAGATTATTTAGGGATGTGGCCACTCTCACTCACTTTGGTGGAAGTATAAAATCAGTGCTGTGTTTCTTCAGCAATTCCACAGCTGGGAATTTATCCTACAAATGCACTTTTTAAAAAATCCAAGTAGACAATACAAAAATGTCAGTTTTGTTGTTGTTTGTAAGACCTCCAAATTGGAGGGGGTTTTGTTTATTTCTAAATAGTCATAGTTAGGGAGTTGACATAGTAAATTGTAATAGATAATTTTTTAAAGTAATGATTTTTATTTTTCTTTGCAGGCTGTTGGTGAAGTTGCAAGAGCTGAATTATAACTTGAAAGTCAAAGTCTTATTTGATAAGTAAGATGCCTTTAAGATTATCTAAGATACACATATGATTGAAATGCTGGTTTGGGCTCGGCGCCTATAGCTCAACCAGCTAAGGCGCCAGCCACGTACACCTAAGGTGGCGGGTTCGAATCCCCAGCCCGGACCCGCCAAACAACAATGATGGCTGCAACCAAAAAATAGCCGGGCGTTGTGGCGGGCGCCTGTAGTCCCAGCTGCTTGGGAGGCGGAGGCAGGAGACTCGCTTGAGCCCAGGAGTTGGAGGTTGCTGTGAGCTGTAATGCCACGACACTCTACCCAGGGGGACAGCTTGAGGCTCTGTCTCAAAAAAAAAAAAAAGAAATGCTGGTTTGTTAACCATAGACTCCTCCATTAGATGAGCAGATTCACCAGTTTTTCAATGGGTGTCTACACTGGGAGGAAGTTTGCCTCCCTGTGACCCTGGGGCTGAGCCCAGGGTGCTGACACTGCTACTGCTGCTGGTGAGCAGAGGCTTCAAGTCAGGTCCACCAGGACCATTACAAATGATCCCAGAGATTTAAGTCAGCAGCTGCCTTTCTGGATGTCAAGAGCTTCCTGTAGAGCTGCTGTCAAAATGCCTGTGTCCATATAGACTATAAGTAAACAATAGAATGAGTGTATTTTGTGCATTTGAGATTGTAATCTGCACATCCCAAGGCAGCTGGACTCAGCATACCACCCGCTCTTCCCAGGCTAGCCCCATCGAGAGGCCCTGATCACACACCAGGCTGACCATCCAGGCTGCTATGATTCTGAGGCCTATTGGGAGGTTGTTTCTAGAATGAGGTCAGCCACATTTGGGGGGGCCTATGTGGAGCTGCTGGATTCACCCCATCCCTTCTAAACTGTGGAGACCCGGGGATCAGCAACATCTCTCAGAGGGATTCAGATTGAGCATTCCCATCCTATTTTGCCTTTAGACCCTAGACCTAGACTAGGACTGACTTAGCCACTTGCCTTAAGGAACAACATGACCCCTTGCCCCAGATATGTCTGATGCTTTTGTTGGCTTGTGTCACATACGAGTACAGTAGGTTTTAAAAATGACTTGTGATAATTTCGTTTTCCCCTGGCTTTTTGTTTCTTCCCACTTCTGTAAGAATATTCTTCCTTGTAGCATAGTCTGTTTCTTTGTCTTCCCTGCCATCATCTTTGGTTTTTCTCTGTTTCAGTTAGCTTCTGCTGTAGAACAAACCACTCCAAAAATTTAGTGGATAGGCTTGGCACCTGTAGCTCAAGCGGCTAAGGCACCAGCCATATACACCAGAGTTCCAATCCAGCCCGGGCCCGCCAAACAACAATGACAACTACAACCAAAAAATATCTGGGCATTGTGGCTGGCGCCTGTAGTCCCAGTTACTTGGGAAGCTGAGGCAAGAGAATCACTTAAGCCCAGGACTTAGAGGTTACTGTGAGCTATGATGCCATGGCACTCTACCCAGAATGACAGCTTGAGGCTCTGTCTCAAAAAACAAAAAAAATGAGTGGATAAAACCCCCAAAACATTATTTCTTACATCCTGTGTGTTGTAGGTGGTCCTTCTGTCTGGGCTAGCCTGATTGGAACTAGCCAATTTTGTTGCATGTCTGTGTTTCAGGAGGGTACGTGATACACTTTGCACTGTATTTTGCTATCCTTCCTCACTCTCAAAGAGGCTAGCCTGGGCTTTGCTGATGGAGACAGTGTTCCAAGCAGGCGAGGCCTGTGAGGGCTAGCCTTGGAATCTATGTCACTCCCCTGCATTCTGTTGGTAAAAGTAAGGCAAGGCTGGCAGAGATTCTGGGGACTGAGAGATACATTCTTCTTGAAGGGAGGAACCATCAGGGTTTTGCGGCCACTCCAGTTTTGACCCTCTGCTTTATTTCAGCCCCTCTTTCAGTTTTTTCTGGCTCTTCTGTCTTTTCTGTCTACTCCAGCGCTGACTTATCTTCTTAGCTTTGACAAATCAGCTTTGTACCACATTGTTCCTTTTATTCTAAATCTTTTTCTTTTCTTTTGTTTTGAACAGTAAAAGTAGGTCCCTCTCACAGGCAATGGGAATTGTCATTCACAGAAACAACTGAACTTCTAGTTGAGATAGGAAAGGAAAGATCAGGTGGCACCTGTGTCTCAAAGGAATAGGGCGCTGGCCCCTTATGCTGGAGGTGGAGGGTTCAAACCTGGCCCTGGCCCAAAACTGCAAAATTAATTAATTTAATTAATTTTATTAAATAATTAAAAAAAAAGAAAGGGAAGATCCCTAACTTATCTACTTGTGACTGGGCTAACAATTTCTAATCTATATCTACACATTAACAGATACATTTTTTGGCTAGAGCATGACAAAATAATCATTGAATTTACATAAGATGCAAGGTTTTTCAAGATTTTGACCTCAGACTTAAACTTGTCACTTTCCCCTAATAGCTGACTCTTCTGGGGTACTTAGGTGAGAGCATTAGAGATAATAGAGAATGAAAATAAGGGTTAGGCAGGCACATTGGAGGGCTGCCGAGTTCTGTGGCAGCAGAGCCGGGTGCTGTCTGTTGAATCCCCAGTGCTTAGCACAGAGCCTCACACAGAGTATGTAGTTGCTCAATAAACAGAGGTACGCTTACATTTACTAAGGGTACATTATGTACTCATTTTATCCATTAACTAGTTTACTCCTCAGGATATCCTGGAAGGTTCACGCTCTTGGCATGTTGTACCAATGAGACGCAGGAGGCCTGGTTTGTTTGCCCAAGGCCACTCAGTGGTGCTGTAGGGGGATCGAGGAGGGGTGGGAGGGAAATGACAGGGCAGCAAACCAGGTTGAGATTTATGTTTTATTTATCTTTTGCCTCTATTTTTATAGGTTTGTTAAAACTTATTTTAAATTTTAGAAACACTTGTGTGGTTATTTATTATGTATCTACATACATATATATGTTTGTTTTTTGCAGAGACGTGAATGAGAGAAACACAGTAAAAGGGTACGTGATCCACTCTGCACTGTATTTCTCTATCCTTTTTGTTTGCTTGCTTAATAGTTTGAAGCCTTTCATTATTTCTGTCTCGTGTTGTATAGATTCAGAAAGTTCAACATTTTGGGCACACACACGAAAGTGATGAACATGGAGGAGTCCACCAATGGAAGTCTGGCGGCTGAATTTCGACATCTGGTGAGGACACTGGTTTTGCCCTCTTTGGGTGCTCCCTGATTTATTAGGACTTTTGACAATTGAGTGGCACTTTGGGACACTTTGTAACCTGGAGGGTGCCCCTAGACTTTCCAGACTTTGTGGCTGGTGAGTTCTCGTCACCAGCACTTGGGACATTTTGGTTCCCCCTTCTCATCCCAGAACCATCATTGTGTGTTCTGCCCGCCTCTCTTCCAAAGCTCCTGTTGGGCAGTATCAGTCTCAAGGAAACTGCTCTGAGCCTGCATGTTCATAAATGGCCCAGTTGGTTGCCGGTGGCCTCAATGGCCTCAGTGACTCACGTGGTTTTCTCAGAGGCCATTGCTCCCATGTCCTGACCATACCTCCCCCACCCTCCAGGCATGGTCACGAACCCCACATTCTCTCTGCAGCCTCTTCTTTGCATTTCTTTTCCTGGTGGTCTCACCCACAGCCCCTGCGTCCTTGGCGGCCTGACTCTGCCCCTGCAACGGGTCTCTAGAGAATTAGTTCCCATCCTAAGAGGTGATAGAAGCTGCCCAGCAGGGGTGTCTGAAGTGCCCCACCTACTTTCCCCTTCTGTGGTAATGGTGTTGCCAGTTCCAGTTGTTCAGATGTTCCTTTGGCGCTGAGCCCACAGCTCTCCCTGGGCCCAGAACCTGCAGTGAGTCAAGGCACCTTTTCTCTTGGCATCTGTGCACCAGCAGACCTCGGGGCTGGGAAGCTAGGTGTTGTTCAGGACCCTCAGCCCAACCTGGGAGCCTGAGGGTGCCCAGAGCTGCCCTCAGGGCCCCAGTTGCTCCCTCAAAGCCTCAGTATTGAAGTCCACTTGAGGGTAGTTGATCCTGGAGTCACTGGATCTCTGGAAGACTCTTCTGAGGGAAGAAGGAAGGAGGAGAAGCTGTCCGCCCTGAGCCTGGGGACATGCCACAGCTAGTGAAGGTGCATGGGAGCTCATTCAGGGAAAGTGCACACGGGAAGGGAGCAGGATACAGTTCCCTGAGGTCCTCCGGAGGCCTGGTGCCCACACCCTGCCGGGCCAGTGGGGAGAGGTGCTTCTGCTCATGGACCCAGACAAGGGCAGTTTTGTTTCTCAGCATTTGTATCTGGCATTCTTTCTAGTTTTAATTTTGGTCTACTTCGCAAATGAAGTGAGTAACTTGGACAATTAACATGCCATTTAAGAAGATGGTTTTTTCTTTTATAGCAACTGAAAGAACAGAAGAATGCTGGCTCCAGAACTAATGAGGTGAGAGACTATGTTGTGACTAGACCCAAACCAGGCAGGTCTGTCCAGTGAGGGAAGGTCAGTGCCTCTAGGGCCTGGGGACACCTCTAGAGGGGCTCAGACCCTAGGTCACAGAGAAAGCCATTAGAAATGCCCTTTCCCCATTCCTGTTTTTCCCTGAATCTCCAACCTTGCCATGATCTCAGAGTAACACCTGGGGTAAGATTATTGAATATTCACGTTGCAGCCAATTGGGTCCAGGATCTCTGCAGCCTGGTTTTAGTGTTAATTTGGCTTCTGAAATTTGCAAGATGAGTGAATATATTGCTCTATTCTTTTCTTTTTTCCTTTTCTCTCCTCAGGGCCCTCTGATTGTTACTGAAGAGCTTCACTCTCTTAGTTTTGAAACCCAGTTGTGCCAACCTGGTTTGGTAATTGATCTTGAGGTAAGACTTCTGTGGTCTCAAGGTGGAAAACTTTATTTTTACTCTTAACTACTACATGTATTTTTATTTCTCAGTTTTTGTTTTAGAGATACCTACCTGATGGCTTAAAAAAGATAATCTTTTTCCACTAATGTTATTTTAACCTTAATTTATGGTCCAGAAAGATAGAGAATTGAGTTAATCTCAAACTCTGTAAGCTATTTGTTCTAATTGAGATTGCCAGTGTTAATTTTTTTATATTAAGCATTGAAACTTATTTTCTTTACTCCGCCCTTTCCCCACATTTTGTTTATGTCATGATTTACTTATTTTTAAATTGGGTATCCTTGAACAAATTGCAGCTATCATTAGTTTTAGGGACTTAGCTCTTTTTTTTTTGAGACAGAGTCTCAAGCTGTCGCCTGGGGTAGAGTGCTATGGCGTCACAGCTCACAGCAACCTCAAACTCCTGGGCTTACTCGATTCTCTTGCCTCACCTTCCCAAGTAGCTGGGACTACAGGCACCCGCCACAATGCCCAGATATTTTTTTGGTTGTAGTTGTCATTGTTGTTTGGCAGGCCCGGGCTGGATTCGAACCCGCCAGCTCCAGTGTATGTGGCTGGCGCCCTAGCCATTGAGCTACAGGTGCCAAGCCATAGGGACTTATTTCTTAACTGAAGATAAGATAAACTATGGACAGAAGAACAGAACTTAACCTCTTTCTGCTTTTCAAGTGTAAACTATATGCATATACATAAATAATCCACTGCTTGTTTCTGAGGCTGAGTAGAAAGTGATATTTCTGCAGTGCAGATGATTTCAAGGTCTCTGTCATCTTTCAGACGACCTCTCTGCCCATCGTGGTGATCTCCAATGTCAGCCAGCTCCCAAGTGGCTGGGCCTCCATTCTGTGGTACAACATGCTGGTGGCAGAACCCAGGGTAAGGAACTGTATTTGCTTTCATCCCAGAGGTTAGCCAGAGACCCTATGGTCTTGCTGTTGCATCTCTGAAATATCCTGTGCTGGCCAGATGTTGAGAGAGAAGTGACACAGCTCTTGGGGTGTCACTAAGGAAAGTGACTTAATTCTGGGCACGTGAAGCATATGTGTGTGTGTGTTTGGATGTGAATAAGCTCAGACAACTGATGATTTTATGTAACTTTTATTATGGAGGAGGTTCTTTGGTATCATTCTTTTTCTTAAATGTGTATATCTATTAAACAAACATGCCCCGTTCTTGGAGCATGGCACCTCACTGTTGATTAATTACGACTCTCATTATTCAAAGTAGCTGTGTTCTGTCATGTGACTGGGAAATACTTAATGAGCGAATAGGGAATTATTGCTCCCAAGGGAAATACAGGATTAGGTTCCTACAAGCCTGTGGTCTCAGTATTTTTGTCAGCACATCAATACAGAACCTTATTTTTGCGTTTCTGTTTAAACATATCTTACCTAATGTATTTGTTGATTCATTAATATTGAACTTAACAGCCAGCAGCACTGTCACTTGTGTCTGAGTGAAGTTCATCTCACATACACATTTTCTCTTTGGGGCACGTCACAGCCTTCCTGTGCTCAGGAATGGCAGATGGTGAGGCAGGACACGTGGGCGCCATTTTAAGCAGCTAAATGAATAATCACAGGAATGCGAAAAATGTGGCACTAAATAAACTTCAGAAGGGATACTGTTTCTAGTATGAGAGCTGAAGCAAGCCAGAGTGTTGTTTGACCTCAGTAGGAATGTAAATGTATTAAGGGACTCAATCCTTTCTGCTCTGGCATGGTTGTGTCTTCAGGTGACTGTGCGGGTGTCATGAGTATTGATTTTGGAGTTACAAATCAGTGTTAATGAGTAAACAAACTCAAAAGGGGAGCCTCCAAATAATAAGACTTGACTGTATTTTTCTTCCACTACGGTGAAAACATCTGTGTGTCATATAAACTAGAATTAAACTTCAGGACATTGAGACTCATGTTTCATTGTCTGGCTTGTGACTTCAGTAACCCTTAGCGTTGGGTGTTTTCTTTGTAGAATCTGTCCTTCTTCCTGAATCCACCATGTGCACGATGGTCTCAGCTTTCAGAGGTCCTGAGCTGGCAGTTTTCTTCTGTCACCAAGAGAGGTCTCAATGTGGACCAGCTGAATATGTTGGGAGAGAAGCTTCTTGGTATGAACATACTAACTTTTTATGTATGTAAAAATAGAGATTTATAAGAATGTCTTACTTGTTCTTTTTCCCCCTCTCTGCTCTTTACTTTTTTGAAAGTAGAAGAATATTAAAACCTGTTGACTTTTCAAGCTGCAGCTTATTAAAGCTAAATGAGAATCATACATGATCTTGGAAAAAAATAGAGGCCTGATAAAAGATTTAACCAAATCATTTCCTCATCTCTTGCTAACATTTCTGAGAAGGGTTTCTAAGGAAAGTTTTTTTTAATTATATAAAGGATATTATGTATAAGTTCCTTGACAAAAAAAGATGAACCTTGGGGAGAAGAAAGTCCCTGATGTGGTAAGAATAAGGTCCTGGGGACTGCCCAGCACACAAGACCCACCCAGTGTCTCCACTACTCACCCTCCTGCATCAGGAGGGCCCAGGTAGTGAAGACACTGCTCACACAGGAGCACGCCTCTTGTAATCTGCAGCTTGGACTGACTGGGCAGAGTCCAGACCATGGAAGGTAGACCCTTCTATATCAGTGGATTTATCAGTCTAAACAAATCAAAGATCCACTAGTCTCAAGGTCAGATCTTTTAATGAATGGGAATATCTGAACTATTTTTTTTTAAACCCATGGATAATTTTTATCCAGCTTTGCTTTCTGTACAGCAGAACCACATCTGCTGTGATCACTGAGAGGCCCTTCCTGACCCAGTGGCTCTCAACAGTGCCTTCTCTTGGCCATGCACCTGTCACAATACTCATCTTGTTCTATTAAGTAAAAAGTATAAAGTCATCTTACTCTATTTTCATATTTGTCAAGAGTTAAGAAAGATCTCTTCTCTGCCTTTAGTGGTGTATTTGTGGTTTTGTTTGAAGAGAGATAAAGGGCTTACCACCTCTTAGAGCCTGGAATACTTTAATTTGTGTAGCTAATAACCCCTGGGCTTTGTTGCAGAATTAATTTAGCATTAAGGTATCAGAAAATATCAACCATGGACGTTCAGAACTTCCTCATTTTGGATGTTAGCTCTTTTCCTCCAGAGGAAATCCAAGAGTCATTGGTCCAACTAAATCTTCAGAATCGATTTCCGTTTGCTGAAAAAAATCTTATTTTTATTTGTTTAGGTCCTAACGCTGGCCCTGATGGTCTTATTCCATGGTCGAGGTTTTGTAAGGTGGGTTCTGTCTGAGTTTCATGCTCTCTGAGCCTTTTTTCTCTGCTGAGGTCTCATATTTCTTGCTGCGGTAGTGACTTGACTGTTTGCTTATTCTGGCATGTTTTTTTCTCTGACCAAGGAGCCCCTAGGGCAAGTTGTTTGCTTTTCTTCAGCGCAGGAGGTTAGTCTCCAAGCCAGGAAGCACCTGCCTGAGTGATAACATTCTTTCATATCCGAAATGAGTCTTCTATTCACTCGCAGTGGCCCCCGCCTGGCAGCATATTGGCCATGTCCGTGTGAAATGTGTGCTCTGGGCCAGGCTGCATGGCCTGAGCGGCCAGATGAGTCTCTTGGAACCTGCTCAAGCAGGAGGGCCAGCTGGAGGGAACATTTAGACCCTGCTGGGGTCACCAGATAGGGCTGGTCGGCTGGCTCGGTTGGATTTTGCTAGCATGGGGGCAGCTTTTCTTTCCATGTTTCACCCTAGAGGTTATTCCTGGCTGCTTGGCTACTGTTTAGAGAGGGAAGTGGAGCCCTGCCTGGGGAAATGGACAGCTCCCAGTCTGAATGCCAATGATAAGAGGGGAGAAACTATGATATTCCCTGCCTGGGGTCAGGATGGCTGGTGCTCTATACGGGACACTTCTACATTTGAAAGCTGGGAAGTCTTTATAGATTAAAATCTGATGGTGGGAGGGGGCATGGTAAGTCACTGCTTTGGGTTTCTTTGTTCCTCATGTGTGCATTTGTATATTTTCAGGAAAATATAAATGATAAAAACTTTTCCTTCTGGCATTGGATTGAAAACATCCTAGAACTCATTAAAAAACACCTACTCTCTCTCTGGAATGATGGGTAAGGGCCACTGATGGATGTATTTTTGAAACAGATTTTTAGTACACACTCACTACAAGGCTGAGGCAAAAAAAAAAAAAAAGCATTATTTGAGAAGACGTGTATGAATCTCACAGAGGTGCACACATATAGATTGTCACTTCAAGGCATAAGGAGTGTAAACCTCATGATTAGATTCATACTTGCTTAGTATAGGTATCTGTGTGTATTTGCAAAACTAAATTTAAAAAACCTGAGTATCATTCATGTATTCATTCATTCAACAAAAATTTCTGGCCAGCCACAGTGGCTCACGCCTGTAATCCTAGCACTCTGAGTGCTAGGCCAAAGCAGGTGGATTGCCTGAGCTCACGAGTTTGACACCATCCTGAGCAAAAAACAAGACCCCCCCCCATCTCTACTAAAAATAGAAAAACTGAGGCAAGAAGATCGCTTGACCCCAAGAGTTGGAGGTTGCTGTGAGCTGTGATGCCACAGCACTCTATGCAAGGTGATAGTCTGAGACTCTGTCTCAAAAACAAACAAACAAACAAGCAAAAGAATTTTTTGAGCTCTCACCATGTTCCCTGTAGGAAGGAAGAAAAAAACCCTTTTAACTTGTTTCTATCTGACTTATTCCCAGGATCAGCTAATATTTCACAAAAGCTTAAAGTTTATCGGAAATGCTAGAATATGAAAATATCTATTGTCTGAGTCTCTTCCTCTCCAGTATAAAAGATGTGTAGATTGAAGCATTTAGTGGTCTTTAAATTCAGTGACAACCGAAGGCTCCTTGATCCAGTGTGTAGTTGCTGAGCTGCTAAGCCTCCTACTGACACCACGTTCATGCTGGGTTTCTTCTTTAAACTGTAGCATGTACATGAATAAATGAAGTGCTTCCTGAAGTGCCATTAAATAGATTTTAAGACTGTCTGTACATTTTTGTCACAGATTATTTTGTCACATGCCAGTTGTTCTGGTTTGTAAGCTAACCTGAGCATTAAGACCATGATTGAACTACAGTCTCTCTGTCCATCTCTCCCATGTCCAGGTGTATCATGGGCTTCATCAGCAAGGAGCGGGAACGAGATCTACTGAAGGACCAGCAGTCGGGGACCTTCCTGCTGCGCTTCAGTGAGAGCTGCCGTGAAGGGGCCATCACATTCACATGGGTGGAGCGCTCCCAGAATGGAGGCGGTGAGTGAGGGGTGTGAGCATAGCCACCAGCACCCCCAGGGTGCGGAATCCTGCTCTCTCACCACCAGTCAGCTTACACATTCATGAATGAATCTGAAATTGCAGATCCTACACTCAACCCAGCTGAGCGTCCCCTAAGTGGGAGTTAATAAACCACCATGAATATTTGTAATTCCCTGCCTGGAACGTACTATGAAAATGGTAGTTTTGAAAAAACAAGGCCAAATTCTTTCTCATTTTGTCCAGTTTGTTATCAGTAGATGAAGGATATGAGTTGATATAATCTGCATGCAGCCAGTTCTTAGAAGAAGTCACATTTCCCACAGGCTTAAACTTTTCTAGACTCACTTAGGGTAATCCTGGAGTAAAGCATGCAGATGAGGGCAGGCTTTGTGAGATGATTCCACACACATTGTTAGCGGGGTGCAGGGGCTGTTGGGAAGAGCCGAAGCCCTCCACCCTGCCTTCACAATGGGCAGCTGCAGGCTTATCTTTGGTATACTGGGTTTCTCTCTAAGCAAATGAGTCCATGGCTAAAGTGTCCAAAGTCCTTGGTGTTTAAGAACCAGATTTCTGGAGACAAAGCTGAATAGCACAGAGGAAAAACTGATAGACTGATTACTTTTCACTGTTGTGGAGAGTTTGCTTTGTTTGAAGGACTGGAGGAAAGAAAGGATTTGTTCCTGTGGACTTTTATGCTTTCAGTGGGTAGATACAAAAAGATAGGCTACTTTTCTTGTTCTATTTATTTTTTCTTCAGAGGAAAAATCAGGAGGGCTGAGATCCCAGGCTGCTGCTGGAATAGATGTCAGAGCCTGCCCTCCTTTTCCGTAATAGGTCCTGAGCCAGCTGAGAGACGACAGCATTAGCGAACCAAGCATAGACAAGGGAAACGCTGGCGTCAGAAAATTTAAGTGGGAAACCATCAGTCACAGAGATTCAGGATACTGGCAGGGTCTGAAGTTCTAGAGCAGGGTCCCTATAGCACCTGAACTTGTAGTCCGTGGACTATGTACATTCCAATGTGAGATTCTGGATTAATTAGGAAGAAGGATCTGAAGAAGGTCTGAGAATGAGAACAGGAATGAATTAAACTGCGGTTGATTACATTAAGGACTAAAGGGAAAAGTAACACATAGGCTCTTTCTTTGTTTCAGATGTTGTTTTCTATTATCATTTCTATTGTTTATTTAAAAAATTATGTTTTTCAACACAAAAAGAAAGTCAACACAGAAAGCTTATTTTTAGTAACCTAATCTAAGGCTTTAGCCAAGATGACCCAATTAGTAATTATTTATATCTGCCTGTGGGCAGGGTATTGTTGAAGAATAGAGCCTTTTAAAAACTTTTAATAAACTTTTTTGGCCAGATTTATAAATCTAAGCAAAAAATGATAAACGTAACTAAGAGCAATGACTTCTTTTTTTAAACAGGATTCTAAGTTGTTTAGAAATAAGGCAGTCCACTCTCTGTGGTATGTGTCTGTAAGGCCTGGACTGTGATTAGTTTTTACCAGGTTCACTGCAGGTAAACACTGCAGCGTTTTGTTTCTCTCCTTTCCATTGTTTTAGGATGTTCTGTGGAATTCTAGCATTTCTCCTTTTTTTTTTTTTTTTAGAACCTCACATCCATGCCGTTGAACCTTACACCAAGAAAGAACTTTCTGCCGTTACTTTCCCTGATATCATTCGCAATTATAAAGTCATGGCAGCTGAGAATATTCCAGAGAATCCCCTGAAGTATCTCTATCCAAATATTGACAAAGACCATGCCTTTGGAAAGTACTACTCCAGGCCAAAGGAAGGTAGGTGAGGAGAATAAGTAGTCACTGCCCTGATAGGCAGTAGCACAGAGTGGTCCCTTCCTGGTGATGGATGGATGCTTCCTCTTCAGACAGCATTTATTAAGTGGAAGATGC